CTGCTGTGCCAAACACTTCAGTTTCAGGGTTTTCTCTCTTGCTTTAGTTTTCCTGACTTTGTCAAATCAGCCCCCGTGACCAGCAGAATCCTCCACTTTGCCAAAACCAAATGTATTCATAGGAAGTAGATTTTTGGCTGCCGCTTTCAAAGGAATCTGATTAAATTAAAACCACCAAAGTGCTTTTACTGTCTCCAAAAAAGGTCCTTTGAAAGTCCCAGCTTTCATTTTTTGTAGTTTGTCACCCAAACCAGAAACACCAGAACAAAGCTTTAATTTTTCTCCTCCTCCCCCTTCCTCAAAAAGCTATATTCACCTTTGTTTTTTCTGCCTCCTGCTAACCTCAGCACACCTATAGGCTATGGAGTTGCTTTGCCAGAGCAGAGCAACTGCAAATTTAATTAACAGCCCTTCTGATATCGTTCTCTGGTGCCAGTCTAGACTGAGCTGATGAAGCAAACAAGGGTGGTAATTGGCGGCGAGACCAGATCTGGACTTGAGCTCTTCTTTAAGAAAATGCCAATGAAACTGCAACTCATGTCAGTGGGTTTTTCAGGCAGAGAACAGAGGGTTGTAGTCATTCTTGTGTCACCCCAGGTAAGACGTGAGTCTCTTCTCTGCCTGGGTACCACAGGGCTGGAAAGGACAACGTTGGCTTGGATCGGGGCAGATACAGACCTACCATAGGTCGCGATGGATACCACAGCATCCGCCAGAGGAAGGTCAAAACACGAGGATTTATGCCTTGCTTATGCAAGGTGGGGACAGGGAGCGCAGGAGATAAGCTCGCTCGATCCAGCGCTAGATTTGCTGTGATGCTCCAGAGGGAGAGGAGACCTTCCCCACCGAGCCATGGAGGGAAAATCCTCCCCGTGCCTCGGTGCAAAAATTCATTTTAACATTCACCACCTTTACACATCTTGACCAGCCCTGGTGCCTGACTCTTTTTATCCCCCGTGGTGTCACTGACATCCTCACAGGGGGCTTGGAGCAGCTACCGGGAACTTCCCAGATGGAGCATCTGGCACGGGACATCGGGATGAGGCCAGCACAGACCAGAAAGCAAACTGGGAGAGGAGACATCTGGATCTCCATCAGTCCCAAGGGATTTCTGTTCAGTATCGTCCTCATCTGCCTCTGCATGGTGCAGCAGCTGACCGAGGTGTAGCTGGTCCTGGACCAGGGCACGAGAATATTTCTTACACGGAGATTATTTCTCCCATTCTGAATCTGGATGAAAATATCTAAAATTTAAAAATAAACAAAAGAAAAATTATATTGCCTTGAATATATATGAGCCCCTGAAGTATTTTATGCCAAGTTTGGGGTTTATCTTCTTATGGTCAAAATTAAACATCCTCAATGGGCGTATGCTGACATGTAAATCCAAAATTGATTCAGAAATGTAAAAAAGCAAGAATTTAGGTTTCCATCTTACAAAAGTTTAATAATTAATTATCTGTCAGAAATTACTCTTTCCTTCAAATTGTTTTAATGCTTCTGGGCTTTTGGGATTTTTCTGACAAAAAGAAAGTAAAAGAATCCAAAAAAACAGAGGGACAAACTCCCCATCCAATTCAAGTCTGTGTATGTAGTGGGAAGAACAAAGGGAGTGATTCTGCATCATTCCTCTTTGAACTTTACAAACCTGAGTATTTTTTGGGGTGGGAAGAACTCCTGCAAATCCCCGCTGATTTGTGATGGAGAAAGTGAGGTCTATTTGTTCCCTTTCCTTCCACCAGCCCCAGCGATTTAGGAAAATGAGGTTGTTAGCGGAGTCTCAGAAACAAAATGGACTGAGGTTCCCCTCCCCTCACTGTCCAGGCAGAGATCTGATGCATTTTAATAAGTATTGCAGTTGGATATAACGCAGTTTCTTCCACCACAGGCATAAAATGTCTGGAGTGTAACCCAAAGATCCTACCCCGTCAGACAGATGAACTATTTGGGGGGGGGCAGGGAGATAAATGCAAGAAGAGAAGCAACATGTTATGTTGGGTACTGCAGACGATCAAGTCGATTTGTTAAAGCATGACAGTAATGCCAAATAAATTCACAGCATGGCACGGGGGCTGGGGAAAGGGCACGGCTGCTCCTTTTTTTAGGTGATGGAGAGACAGTGATGGACAGACTGGAAAAAATCTCCCTATTTCTGGTTTTGAAACAGGTTATTTATCTGGAGGTTTCCTGTTCTGATCTTTCCCCCTTCTTACGGCTCTTCTTACGTTGCCCCTCCTTGGTGAACCAGCTACGGCTCCAAACCCTATTTATCGAATTTTTAAAGGTTTTAGCTACAGTGCTTGCAGGATCAGGGACCAGGAGAAAAGAGGTCACAATATTCAGGGTAAGAGTTTGCAGTGAAATTTCTTCTACTCGGCAAGAGAAGTCTGATAGGTATTAATTAAATAAAGGAGGTACTTAAACAGCATAGGAGAAATACTAAATACTACCAGTGAGAAAAGATCCAGTAGTGATGCTGGGAGGCAGAAAGAGAACCTCTTTTTTCCCTTTTTTTTTATTTTTTATTTTTTGGCAAACAAATGGAAATATCCTTGATGGTGAATAGGGTAATGAAGAGAAAGAGAGAAGTTTTGCCTGTATTTTCCCCACCAAAACCCATCATTTGATCTGTAGGAAACACAAAAATGCTGCCAAACATGAAAATAACCATCAGCAAGCACATCTCATTTCTCATTTAGGTATTTCACCACATGAATAATTTTTACCAGCTCTAGGTTTCTATTGCCACC